GCTCTCTTCTTATTCTTCATTGGACGGTTTAGATGGACTTCGCCGTTCTTTCCCAACTAAAATAGAAAAGGCTGTATCACATCGAGATGTCGATTCGTTTTCAGCCCTCAATGAGATGGGGAATTTTGAACCTCCTATTTATTAATACTTTTGGGCACTTTATCTTTCTGAATTGAGGCCGGCTCGCGTCGTTCCAACAACCGGCGGGGAGCACCTCAGTATACGATCGTGCGCAGTAACTGGGAGTCCTATTACACCTAAGGCCAACTAAAATTCACCAAACCAGGGTTCATCTCGTGTAGTGATTGTGGACTCGTACAAGGATATTGAGTAGACAGACGGTTGATGTATCAGGTCGTGTTCGCTGACGCTAATTCCTACATGCCTCAGCAGCTTTCTGTGCTCGATAAAATTTTCCAGTTTCGCGTAGTGTTATTTCGGTCCTAGTTGTGAAAGATATTCTTCAAATTTCCTACGTGTAAAGATCCTATGTTTTAACTCATTGCGGATGGTCTGTCCAATGAGATCTTTTTTATGCATATGACAATAATGTTAATAAAAATTACGCACATGAAATACTTAGAACTTTACGAGTCTCATCCACTCATTCTAAATCATTGCCGAAATAAATTTCAAGAATTAAAATAGAAATCCTCCCCAGTGGAGTCGCCAAAAACTGTAGGAAATATTTCAAGCATTAATCCCTAGCTTGAACCCCACTGTGATTATACACTAAAGTACGGTGGCGTCCAACGGGAAAGAAGATAGAGCAAAAGAGTCGCCAACAAGTTTTTTAGGAACTTGTAAACCGTTCACGAGGTGAAGGTTACACCCCTTAACGATCTAAGAGATCGTCAACTCCAATAGGTCTGGAACCATGACTGGTAGTTTGGGGATGAAGGTACAAATCCAACCTAAAAGAGATTGAACCTGCCCTAATAATATGCCTCTACTTTATTCTGATCGTATTCATGTGCGCTTTCTGACTAACATGCAATCAATAGAATTACCCTAAACCTGTTTATCTATGTTAGTTGAATATTAATGTACAAATAAAACTATTATTGGCGATCTTTGAATTATAATCAAATTAACCTTAAACAAGATTATTGATTATCTTATTAAGTGTGATTACAAATAGCAATTCCCTTTAAATATGCAAAAAAGGCGTGATCAAGCAATAACAATAAAAATCAAGCAACATAAAAATAATCAATATAATAATATATAATTATAAATATTAATAATAATCAAAACAAAAATAATCATAAGTCATGTTAAAGCATAATAATAATAGCAAGATCCTAGGCATGATACTAACAAGATTAATAACAAACCCTAGCATGTCACTAAACAATAAAAATCAAAGCTTTAACGCTAACATGATACTAACAATCATAAATATTAGGAAGAACATAGGAAGCATCATACTTTTAATCATACTTAGTATTAAAGTTACCCTAGACATGATACTAGGAATTTATTGTTGTCACCCTAAACATCAAATTAAGGAAAACATCCTAACATGATACTAGGAATCAAAATAACAACCTAAGCATGATTTCTATATCATAATATCAATTAAACGATTAAAGTACTTACTTGAATGCCTCGTACCTCTTTCTAATAACAAAATACTCACGTTAGTAACTTCAAGGAAAACAATAAACAAAAATTATATTAAATAATTGAAAGAGAGATTTGGGACCAAACCCTCAGGAATTAAACCTTTCACGTCTAGGGCGAAGGCAACTTCGAATATGGCTAGGTGTATCTAAGTCTTGCGAATGCGGAATTTTGTATTTGAGAAAAGGCTAGTTTAGGAAAGAGAGTGGGAGTAATCAAGAAAATCTTGATGAGAGTTGGTGAATGAAAACGGGGTTTTTAGAAGGCTATTTATAGAGAAAATCAGCAAAAAAGATAAAAAAATCAAAACAGAGTTCTGACGCGTAAAACGAGGTTAGCGCCAGACGCTGACATTAGCGCCAGGCGCTAACGCTAGCGCCTAGCTTAGCGTCAGGCGCTAATGCTGGCGTTTGGCGCTAACTTAATTATTGACGTGTTTTCTTAAAATCAGATAGAAATTGTCGTACAGGAGGATAAAATCGTATTTTCCTCAAAAACATTCTTTTATTTTGATAAAAATACTAAAAATTCAACAAAAGTAAATTTATCAATGCTAATTGAATTAGGAATGAAAAGAACCTTCTAGAAGAATCTAGAAGACTAAAACCATTCCTAATTGCATTAGGAATGATAAATCTATTTTAGGCCCTCCTCTAGATCATTGGGCCGCATATAAGGCTCAAACCAGGCCCAGTTCGGTAATTTGGCCATAACTTCCTCAATATTCATCGGAATTGGGCTTATAATATGTCGTTGGAAAGCTCTTTTCAAACCCTATCCAACTACACCACTTTTGGAACCATATCATGAACCAGCCAAACTTTATTGGCTGTTTTCTTAAAATAGGTTTTCAAAAACAGAGAGAAGAGAAAAGAAATTAAAACTATCCGCAACACTAAACCCTTATTTCATAAAGTTTTTTTAAAAAGTTTTTTCCTTTTACTTTAAACATAGTATTATTTACTTTAACATTATTTTCATTTACTTATAATCGAATAACATTTTTTTGACTTTAATACTTTTTCCCATCTCCACCTCTACTTTTGATTCATTTTTTATTACTTTAAAAGTATTTTTCTATACTTTAAAATCGAACACCACATTTCAGAAAGATTTTTTTTTAAAACTTTTTTCATTTACTTTAAACACATTATTATTTACTTTAACACTATTTACATTTACTTTTATATCTACCATCATTTTTGAGAAAGAACAATCCTAGTAATTTAACTTAGATATATAATATGTATTCTTTTTTAACACAAGTTGGAAATATTATATTAAGTGGCTAAAGCCATAGTTTTAATTACAAATAGCATCACATAGTTTTTACATTTATAATTGATGCTAACAAAAATAAGGCCTAACATTATACTAGAACTACCAAATTGCTATACAACAGTCCCTGAAATTCATTTCCTTAAACCTGCACTAACCCAAAAGCTATTTTCATCCATTACAAAAAAAACACATATAACTACAGAGACATAGCATTAGCTACAGTAGAATTAGTAGCACTGTTTGAAGCTGCAGCCGCAGAAATAGAAGCTACAGCAGCAGAACTAGAAGTTGCAGAACTTGAAGCTACACTAGTAACTTATCTTCAACCACTACTTAACAAAAGTTTTGCATTAATACTACACAAGTTCAAGTACTCTAATATCTATGATATATTCAACTCTACTGATATCATTTACAATTGTTCTGATTCTTTCTTTTCTTCCCAATCCTCAACATTTGTTAGCAGTTTCTGTTTCATTTGATTTCTTTCATTGAGAAGTAGGTCAAGCATTGTTCTTATATGATGGTGATTCAGTCTTGCAAATTCCTGTAAAAAAACACTACTACAAAAAGCGTGTTTTTTGGACGCTTTTTAGGCCTTTTTTCGACGCTAAAAAGCGTTGAAAAATTATTTCTCGACGCTGCAAAAAAGCGTCGAAAATCCGTGAGTGGAAAATTTTTTAGGGACACAAAAAAGCGTCGAGATTTTTGACGCTTTTTAGTGTCCAAACTAATATACGAAGCGTCGAAAATTACGTATTTCGCGCATTATCCCAAATGTGTTTAGTTTTTTAGTGACGCTTTTTCGTGTCCATATAATCAAATTTAGCGACGCTTTTTGTTATCTTGCGTTTATTCTAACAACCTATGGTATGGCGGGAAACTCTTTGAAATTTAAAAATGTGCAAATATGTAGACATTAAAAAGCGTCTAGAATTTTTTTAAGCTTTTTTTTTCCTTTTATTAAAATATTACCATCATATATACATTATAGTTATTTAAATTTATCATAAATTAAATTAATAACATTAAAATAAAAATAAACAAATATTCTATATAACTAGATCAGATAAAAAAAAACAATAATTAATCAACAATAATAAGAGTGCGTAGTTAATTACCAAATTTATAAAAGAAAACATCAACACAATTAATAAAAATAATAATAAAAAAAAGTCGCATATTATAGTAGCTTGTCCGATCCCTAAATAAATACATCACTAATATAAATAAGACTAAAAACCAAAATAGATAGACGACGACGTTATAGACGACTTAGTCGCTTGTTTTGATTCTCAAGTGTCCCGGCCTATTCTCTTGTTGCACCTACATTGCCTTTTCCAATCTTCAAAAAAAAAATACAAAGTATAAATTATTACATTACACAATATAGGCTTATACACACACACACACACAAGCTCTAAATTTCACACACACTCACAAGCATTTTTGAATTTCACACACAAGCATTACACAAACGTCTTTGAGAATGCCAACACTTACAACAAGAATCTTATAAACGTCAGGCTGGCAGTCTTATAACAGCAATCTTACACACACACACACACAAGCATTACCCAAACATCAAGCTGGCAGTCTAAGGGGGATGCCAAAGGATGGGGCCACCTCAAAAAAGAATTGGGGATTAATTAATGCAAATGGGAAGCCAGTCTATATCAGTATGGGTCTGTTTTGTCTAATAATACAACAAACCAGACTTATTGTACTGCAAGAGATGGTGTTGACAAGAGGATTGCTCCCCTTTATTGCAGGCGAGCCTTGCTATTAGCCTGATAATGTATTTTCTCATGCTACTTATGCTTTCAACACTTATTATCAGAACACAGGAAAAGCACTCAACATTTTAAGTGAAGTTCACATTTTTGCTTATTAGTAATTATACTAGTGCCTGAAGAAATATAAGAAGAGAATCCTAATATATCATCTAGGGGTGAGCAAAAATTCAGGGTACCTGAACCGGATCCGGAACCTACTCGGAACCGCAGGTTCAGGAACCGGAACCTGTAGAGCAGGTTTCGGTTCCTGGTAATAAAACTAGGAACCTGTTGCAACAGGTTCCGGTTCTGGGTAATAAAATTCTGTACCCGGAACCTGTAGGGTACCCTGTTAGAACAGGTTCCGGTTCCGGGTACCCTGTTACCCTATAAGGTACCCGAAACCTGTAATTGAAGCCCAAATATGCAAGCCCAATATCAAAATTACAAATATAAGTAAGCCTAAAAGTAAACAAAAACCCTAAGCACATTCTCATTTCTCATTTTCATCAGCCGTCATCTACTACAAAACCCTCCTATATTGGTATGTAATCTATCATTTATGTATGATCTCCTTCCCTTAAATTAAATCTTCTTCTTATTTAACCTTTTAATTCTTACTTAGTCCTTATTGCTGCGTTTTTTCTTCTATTTTCTGATTTTTTTTATTTTTTTTATAGGCATTATAAATGGATAGTGAAAGCAAAGAAGATGGAGCTTCAAGCAAGAGAACAACAAGCAAAAAGGCTGGTGATAAGTGAAAGTCAGAGGTTTGGCACCATTATTGGGATGTAAGAGATCTAGAAACGGGTAAAGTTGTTCAAGTTAAATGCAAGTATTGTGATGGAATATTGTCTTATAATGTGAGTAATGGCACTTCATCAATGAAGAAACATTTGAATACATGTCCAAAACATCCTAAAAATGTTGATAAAAAACAGAAACTTTATCTCTGTTTTTAGGAGTGCTCAGAGTGAAACTTTGTTATTTTCTTTATATTACTCTACTTTTATTTTACTGCCAAAATTATTAATTTTAATAATATACTTAATTTGTTGTTATGCTATGTAGGTATCAAAAATTTTACTTCCTGGGCTATCAAGATTTAAGATGCAAGTATGAGATTGTGTAATAATATTTGTATTTTTATCATATAAGTTAAGTATTTGTATTAAATGTACTAGACAGTAGACATTAGTGTTGGATTGTTATTCGTAAGCTTTTAATTTATGGTAAATATCCTTTTTTTATAACTTTAGAAAAATTTAGTAATTTTGGAACAATTAAGCTTACTTTGAAAGACAGGGTACCCGGTTCCGGAACCGGTTCCGGGTAATAAAATTAGGAACCTGTTGTAACAGGTTCCGGTTCCGGGTAATAAAATTAGGAACCTGTTGCAACAGGTTCCGGTTCTGGTTCCAAGGATTTGTACAGGGTACCCTGCTACGCTCACCCCTAATATCATCTATCGAAATAAGATACTATTAAATAACATGTGCACAAAGATGACCTTATAGGACTTGAAAATGCTAATCATTCATATCATAACTGTATAATCAATATTTAATTGAAAACCATATGTGCGTTTTATTTTTAAAAAATCAAACTGCCAAGAAAGAAACATCAATTATTTCCCCCTGAAGACAAGTTAGCTGACTTATTGGAAGCTGGCATGTTAGCTAAAAAAAGGGAAACAGATTGGAAATTGACATGTTAGCTAGTAAGTGTTGAGAAAAAAATAGGACAAAACCATTCTGTTGGATTCAGGTTCTTTAAGTAAAGTATTCATTCTCCCTTAAAAACTCAAGAGCTATTTCATATGTAGTAAATGAATCCCCAAATCTCATTATATTGCTGATCTATTCTATGAACATTATCAGAGCGGCTCACAATATCTAAAGCAGCCTCAATCTGTGCTCAACCTTAGCAAAGAAATCCCATACATTCATTAGTATAGAACTACAAATAAAATAATATTCCATTCCATCATGCTTTATATCATGGTTTTAGGCTCAAATATAGCAGCATGATATAGCAGCAAAAGATGGAAGATAAGTCGTAGACATCTCAGGCATTCAGCTTAGGCAGGGGAGCAGGATAGCAAGCAGCAGGGGAGCAGGACAACAAGAAGCAGGGGAGCAGGGCAGACAAGCAGTATAAATGGATTCAGTTCTTAATTCAAATTTCCAAAAAATCAGGTCTGAATTCAGTTTTGAATTCAATTCTGGATTCAGTTCTGAATTCAGTTCTGGATTCAGTTCTGGATTCAGTTGTGAACTTCAGATCTAAATTCAGTTCTGGATTTCATCTCTGATTTCATTTATAAAGAAAACTGTGACTTTGTTATCTGATGTTTTGCCTTTCCTAAGAATTCAGATGCTTTGTTTAGAAGACCCGGAGATGCATTCCCTTGACGAACTGCACCTACAATCTGAAAAAATTGTCCAACAAGCGCTTTAAGAAGAAGATTGTTGTGTCCGACCAATTATTGTTGTCCTAGGAATACTGACAACATCATTGGGAATCAAAAACAACAGCAACAACATTGCGCAGCAACAGTAGCAAGGTCGAAATCTGTCTACAGAAAGTAATGTTATATTGCTATGTAACTCCCATAGCTATGAATATGGATTTGCAGTTCTGTATTTATTCCATAATGACAGGATCCTGTTACATAATAACTTGAATAATAATTACCCCCACATAAAATAACAGCTTGATCAGGGCTCCACTTTTAGAGTTTTAGGCTCAAGCAGCAAGACTTTTCACGTACAGCTGCTAGTTTTTAAGTATATTTGAACACTAAATCAGATTTCTATCTACATGGAACTTTAAAGAATAATGTTGCAGCTCCTATGAGTGGTACATAATCTCTTTGTAAGATACAATAAAGCTCGTGGAATTATTCAAAGAGACGGTATTCAATACAATCATCAGGATTCTATAACTTTATTAATTAAGTAATTGTTTTTTATTTTTTTTTATTTTTTTTGCAAAGTGAGCAGAAAGCTAGAGGGTACAAATAAGACAACAAATTACTAACTCGTAATTTTATGCTACAATTTAGTTGAAGAAAAATATATTACAATTAAGTTAAAGACAGTCGATTTTAACTGAAGTTCATCTTTTGCTAACTCATAATTTCAGAGTATAATTTCTATAATTAAATTATTTCTCTCTTATATTAATAAGATATTCAAACATGAACAAAACTTTACCAAAAAAGGATAAATATGTATACAAAAACCTAGCACATAAAATGACTCTTTCACCTATAAATAAGTGTGAAAAAGTTCTTAAATAAATAAACATATCTCCATACAAGCTTGTGAATATCATTCTCTTTAGTTTTTGAAGCAATTGCTGACCTCCTTGGAAAAAAATGTACGCTTAGATTTATTAAACTTGAGTCCTAGAGTCCTATAGGTAAGTTATTAGTACACAAATAGTATTTCTTTTATTGATTTCAGTCAAAGTACATAACAAGATGGGACTACCCACAGGCAAGTGAGGTTGGGCCATAGGTGAGCTTAGCTTTGTCAAAGTAGAATCCTAATAGTTTTATAAGCTCACAAAAATGATTTCTTTTATTGATTTAAGTCTAAATAACACAAGATAGGACACAATCACAACAACGAACACACACACACACATACACACATACACACACACACACACACACACACATACACACACACACACACACACACAAGATAGGACATAAACACATCCATGAAGATAGCTGGGGCAGCATCTCAGTCAACAAAAGAAGGCAGTAGCGAGTTTGCAACAACACCTCAATGTGTGCAGCAGCAGCATCAAACAATAACAACAGTAACATCAAACAAGACCAAAAACAGAACAACAATTAATAATAAAAGCAACAGCACATAGGTACCTACAACACCCAACCTGTTGCCAAGCCACCAGCCATGACGCTGCCAATGTGGCTGCTATATTATGTCAGCAAGACAAGAGCATCAGGGAGATCAAGTGAAGAAGAAACTTCTTCAAAACCTCTTAATCACAGCCCCTAGTACGCCTTTAAAAAAGAATGGAAGAAAGAAAACCAAAAGAACTTCAACACTATATTTGATGCATAGATCTAGAGGAGGAATTAATTATTAAATTGTAAAATCATATTAAAACCAACAAAATTACAAGTAACATTTGCTAGGTAAAAGCAACAACCAAAGATGAATTGAATTTGATTAAAACTAACTTAAAAAAAAATCTATCAAACATCCAATTAAAAGGAACAAGAAACTGTCATTCCAGTTTGGTTCTCTTTGCTTCATTACTTACTACTTCTCAAAATCACAACTTTTCTTTAGGAATTTACTTCAAAATCTCCAATTCAATTGATTGTATATAAACTTCTTTTAAATTCGCACATGAAATCTACAATTCAATCAATTGAATATAAACTTCTTTTAAATCGCAAGTATATATTCAAAAATCAAACAACATCAGATCATAATTTTGTGATAATATTGAAAAAAAAAAGTTACTAAAAACAATTTAATAGACTTCAATCAAAAGAGAAATTCGAATTCGTTCTAAAATGAAAGATGTACCTTATAATCAACGGCGACATAGAGAGTGAATAAATCGATCACAGTTCAAAGTGAGTAGAGAAATTTCACCAAGCATAATTTGGGGAATTGCAAGAAGATCTAGATTTAGATCGAATTCATGAATCTCGTGAAGGAGGGAAGAATAATTAGGGTTGAGAACTGAGTAGTCTGTTTTTTCTTTTCCTTTTTTTGGGTTTATTTTCCCCTTAAAATTGAAATGTGGGCTGAGTTGTGAGGTACTAACAATTTACGTGCGTGACATGTTCTTGTCTTCGACGCTTTTCAGCGACAAAAATTGCTTTCGTCACCTAAAAGCGTCGAAAAAACGCGGATACTAAATTTACCCACTAACACCCCTTACCCAGCGTCGAGGCAACATCGTCGAAAAAACACTCATTTTGTAGTAGTGAAAATGAATTATAAATAAATTGTACTCTAAGTATAGATTAGTTCTAGAGTGTAACGACTACAAAAATAAGTATGGTAACTTACCTCTGTTATTATTCCTAATCCTATGCCATTTGCACCATCATAAACCTTCATATGCAACAATAGATAGCTTCTTGAAAAATTATCTTCTCTTTCTCTTTGGAATGGAAGTTCAATTATTCTCAGCTTGTAGGACAGCATATCATTTGCTTGTGGATGCTTCCTTTTTTAAACAACTTTTGTACTTGTATCACCTGAATGCAATGAATATTAGTATAATAAAAGATATTGAATTTAAAGATAATTTTATAATCTATTGATTCGTTACCGTTTCTAAGATAAAACTATGTACAGGTCATATTCTTCATTTGTCTCATACAAAGTGTTGTCCTGATGATCAATTGTTTCATCTTTAAAGTTTATCACAGCAAGAAAATAATGATCTTCTAACATCAGAGGTATATATACCTGCATATGATTTGTTTTAAACATATTTACTTTAAACCTGTTTTTAATTACTTTAAACATATATTGTTCTACTTTAATATTAATTTTGTCTTACACATTGAGCTACATCCAAGTCAAAAGATTGTGAAGTGTTCCAATCAATCCATAGTTTTTGCAGACTTGTTACTCCCTTTTTTCCATGAGCTTTCAAACACATTGTTAAAGCATCCTTCCAAAAAAAAATCCAATTATTATTTCTAATATTTATTTAATGTAGAATTTTAAACTATAAAAGTTAATTTGAAAAACTTACCATGAAGTCAAATCCAAAAAAGTATCTGACGAAGTCATTTTCAGACCTATCTTTTTCCATTTCAATGTTATTCAGGTGGTTTGACCAAGCAGTGATCACATTACTTGTAACTTTCCATTCATTGAGCAAAGTGTTACAATCTTGCCTTACTATTTCAATTGAATCTATAAACCAGCCAACTACTTCACTGTAATGTAGAGTTAAAGTTAAAGTTAAACTTATGTCAAACAATATTATATATAATGCAATATGATTATTTGTTTTTTAGGAAGTCTAAAAATACCTCTTGTTTGGAAAGTTTTCACCATCATTGATTGCTAAGTAGTCAATCACTTGGTAACATTGCAAACTCATGTTATCCATTACTTCCTTATGTTTCTTCAAGAAATCAGAAACACAAATCATATCTTCTACCCCTTTCTCCTTCTCTAGTTTTCTAACTACCCTGAACCTTGAAATTTTTCT